ATTATTTCGTTACTTTTTAGTGTACTGTTTTTTTGAGAATGTTTTGTTTTGTTTTTAGTGCATTTTGTTTTGTTTTTAGTGTATTTTGTTTTTTTGTTACCTAATTAGTTGCAGCGACCTTTCTTGCCTTAATCCTCCACACAGTTCGGTTCTTTGAAGGTTTTCCCCTATAAATTATCTTAGAATCCGCGATTACAGTAATTTGCAATGAATAAGTATTTTTAACATTCAGGACCAAGCTAATTTTTTAGTGTCTAGACTCTTTATTCTACATTATAAAAGTATATACTAATAGTATAAAGAGGAAACGGCTGGGCCGATTTGACCATGAGATTTTGAGAATAGGCTATATATAACTTCATATAGACGAAGTCGCGAGCAACAGCTAGTATTTTTACAAACAAATGAGATCGGAGTTCCACGCATTTAAATATAAGCCGTGTCACCAAAGCTTTAAGATATTACGTTACTTCGAAAGTTTACGGAAATTTTTGTCAATTGAAATTCAATCAAGCGCTAAAACGGCTTGACCCGTTACGCCCGTCATTATAACCTTAATACCTCCAAGAAACTTAAGAAGCCACTAATTAACTTTAATCGGCTTTAATCTTATCTTGGGTGTCGATATGGAAATTCTCATCAACAAAAGTGAATTCACATCCGTAAAATATGTATGTAATGAAGTTTTCATAGTCATTTTTATTTAGCATAGTTATGAGGTAATCTATATTGTTCGTGATACAGAATTTAAATGTCATTTAGAGATAACACGCCTTTTATATTTTACTAGCTGTTGCTCGCGACTTCGTCCACGCGAAATTAAAAAAAATAAAAAACAAAGATAGCCTATATGTTACTCAGCGATATCGTAGCTCATTAATGGTGAAAGAATTTTATAAATCTGACCAGTAATTTCTGAGTTATTTCAGTATGTAACTACAAAAATAAAAATCTTTCCTCTTTATAATTTTAGCATAGAAGTATAGATATAAATTTATACAGACGTTAAGTATTTGAGAATTTATTTGTACATTAATTAAGGTATTATTTCAATTCATTTTAACAAATAGAGTTTTTCAAACAACAAAAGCAACTAACCTAAAACATAACAAAACTTTACTTCGCATCTTTATTCAAGGATGTCACCCCATTTTTCGGGCCATTCAACAGTTTACGTCCGCCTTTTAATACGATTCCAACAAATTGGTATACGTCGTAAATTATAGTGTGAAGACGCGGCCCTTGTTGTCCCCTTCAGCTTCATAAATGAGTTCATATTACGATATAATAAATTACTATAAACGTTTAAAGCGTCCGTTGACATCTAGCTAGTTATTATTAAAAAGAATAATCAGTAAACATGATGAAAAAAATGGATACCAAAAATTAACATATGGAAATTTTTGTCTGTGTAAGTATTCAAGTGTTACAAAGGCCGTATCATCTTATATTGAGAAATGCAAATGATACGGCGCCTAAGTCCGATTAAAAGTTTATCACACAATCAATCGATATCAAAGTATCGAATACGCCTAACTTTAGCGTCAAAACAGTCGCTCGTCCCTACCAATTATTGACATGCTTTATTACAATTTCTCTATCTAAGGCGAGCTTTTATCAGCGTATGTCGCTTCCCGATACGACATAACACTTAAACAAATTCAATAAATCAACCCAAATGTGAACCTTATTACGTAGAAATAAGAGATATTCCATCTGTCTATGTTTAGTTTGTCAGCCAATAGTTGCGTTTCTACTTAATTTGATGGAAAAAGTTTTGGTATCGAAGTCATTTATACCAGACATTATCAGCAGGGGTTCGCGTGGAATTCAGACGGTCAATGAGCTGCTAAGATTGATATCTCAGAAGCGAAATGTGTTTGTGTTGTTGCGAACACAGTTTATTGTAGACGACACTAGATGATCTGTTAACTTGGTGCTTAATCTAAAAGGATATTGCCAATAAAACTGCGAAAGAAGTAATTAAAATGGAACTCAGTAACCAAAGCAATTTCTTTAATTCTAAAGAAACAAAGATGCAAAGATCAGTTTTAAAAACCTTTACGTATATAACAATATTTGTATTGTTTGAGATAAAATTCAAATAGTCATAGATAAATTATTCAAGTCACATTAGACCAGGGGTGGCGAAGCTTTATGCACCGGAGTGCCATTTTTTGTAGAAATGTTTAATACGATCTTAGACGTGCCATCAAATAATTTGGACTGTATACTGTGTCAATTCCATGGTACATGGTAATGACATTGCGTTCGCTTTTATATGATACCTACTTCATACTATTTTTTAAGTTTTTATAATCATCGACGTGCCCAAAATATTGTGTCGTGTGCCTATTTGGCATGCGTGCCAGTGGTTCGCCATCCCTGCATTAGACAGTGTAACAGCCCGTTAGTGCTGGCATCGTGTGACCAGCGCGGGTGCGGGCGGCTCGCAATCAGTCGATTCAGTTTGCGCATCCGACCATACGTCTCGTGTCTCCCCTTCGTCGCCTGCTGCCTGCTGTCATCCTCTAATCTTTGATTTTGTTTACTTTATTTTATAATGTGATACATTTTTATTTACACAAGATACAAAGCAATATTAAGGAAAAAATTTTCGCTTTCTTCTAAAGTAATACCTCCAAAATTTTTTAATGTACAACAAACTAGCTTTCGCCTTTAAGTCCTTCTGCGTGTAATTAAAAAAAAAGTCAGTACCTATGCGTACTTCCGTTTAGACTACAATCTTTAACAAACATCAATGCATCCATATAAATTTTCGCATTGAACCGGTAAATTTTACATTGTAAGGAGGAAATGAAATTTACAAATTCAGGCCACATGACCACAGCCTTATCCCAAAAAGTAAATTAAAATAAAAAAAAAGTGTTAAAAAAATAGTAATACTATGTAATCCGACAAAAGCCAAGATTGTTTGTAACGTTACAAAGTATTTAGTAGTTTACATTCACTTGTTACTTGAATTCCTGGTAATTATAATGAAAATGGTACCGTCGTAAGTCGTAAACAATTCAGACACATTCTGATATCCACACTACAAAATATCGCACATACTCCGCTGCAATTATCTTTAAAGTTATTTAAACAGGTGTTGTTTAAAGTTGCTCCAAATATTCTTTCTAACATACAGTATGTTCTATTAATCAACGAAGATT